TTTCCCAGCCAACTGGACGCCGTTTTTTTTTCAATCATACGGTATAAGGTACATAGTGCAAGAAATTAAACAAAAATTGTACCACAAAAGAAATAAAAGCAAATGTGAGTTGAATAAGAGGTTTTATAAGGTTCCTGTTAAAATATTAATGAATTAAGATATGCGAATTAAAAAAGAAATAAACAGTTTGATTTAAAAAGTTTTATTTATTTTTTACCTACTTTAGAGCTTTATTAAAAACTAGTTGAAGCCTGGCGCATCCGCCACGAGATCAGGAAAAAAAATACTTTTTATTTTTTTTTAATTAAATGAAAAACAAAAAATCCGGCGACGACAGTTTTTAGTAGAGCCATTTAGCTATCTTTTAGTAAAAAAGCAACTTTCTAGAGCAAGTCGTTACTTCAGTAGAGACGACACACAGATAAACATTAGCATTTTATATAATATGTAGTAATGGTGTAATGGTTTATAATTGAAAGGATTTAAATAAAATAATTTATAAATTACTGTTTTATCACTATTATCCTAACTTAATGCATTCTCTTCGTTCTGATGCTCTAACAGAACAGAGACTCTCTTTATTTTGTAACAGTCCTTATAAAGTCCGGCACTAGCAACAATAGTTCTTTGCACCATTTCAATGTGTTTATTGGTGTTTATACCCCATACGTTCTAAAATGATTATAGCCTACATACTCAGAATAGGTAAGTCTTTTCCAAATAATCTAAAATCGAATTTATTGGAATAAACGAAATCTTCAATGATAACAATGTTTTGGTTATGTTAAGCAATTTTGTCAAATATCAAATAAAATCAACATCTCCTCATGCCTTTGCTCATGCGTCAAATTTTTATCCGACAAATAAAGCACTATTTGGCAGTTCGGGCGCCAGATAGGATATCTGGGAGATATGTTTAATTTATCTAATAGATACTGTTATCTATAGGTGAAGATACGCGTTTTTCTGCTATCCATCAAATAAAATATATCTGGCAGATTATAACACGCTATCCGTACCTGAAAACACCGGGGGTAAGCGTGTTTAAGTTTTTAAAACCAAATATTGTACTGAAGTTTTTCTATTTATTAAATTTTGTGTGGCAATAATAAAAATAATACTACCATATACAGAGTGTCTAAAAATTTATATTAAATAATTACTAGCTTTAAACGGCAATAACTTGTTTAATTTAATTGAAACATCCTGTATATCTTACGTGAATCATATGGACAATTTCATTGTCTATTAAATTGTATTATCCAATTCTTACCTATCTCATCATGTTTTCGTAGAAAATGCACTTTCTTCTTATTTAAATCTCATATGTACCATGAAATATTGACCTTTTGGATATTTTTATTAAACGGTTTTATTTAGCTCGACCCGTACGGTATTTATTTATTTGTTTGTTTATTTGGGTCAAAATTAGAAATTGAAATTTAAGTATCTTCCTGTTGTCAGATTGATCTGAAATTTGGTACACACCTTTAGTTCCGATGACAATACAATATAGTAATATCAATAACATTGTAAATCTAAGATGGCTGCCGGTACAAAATGGCGGATTTCATATTTTTCCACAACCCCCTCAATATGGGTATCAAATGAAAGGGCTACACTAGTAGAATACTGTGATTATGAGAAAATTTAAAATCCAAGATGGACGTCGTTACAAAATGGCGTATTAGGTGAGGGCATGAGTAGTCGTGTCCAGAACAGTTGTGTCCAAGATTGTGTGACGTTAGAAGGATAGATAAAAAAAATAGGTGATTAGATGTACCTGTTTTATGGCGTTTGATCACGCTCTGTGAGCTGACGGAGAATATGCGTCAGCAAGGGGACCAAGCTCACCCCAAATATAAATATGTGGATTAAAAGAAAGCATGGAGAGGTAAACTTCTATCTTACTCAAATATTGAGTGGCCACGGAAATTTTGGGAGTTACCTGTGTAAAATTGGAAAGAGGGAAGTCGCGGAATGCCGATACTGTGCTGTACCCAATGATACTCCAGAACACACAATGTTTGCTTGTCCAAGATGGGAACAGGAAAGATGTGAGGCACGCATGACGATTGGTGGCAAAATCTCCGCAGATACCCTCTTAAAATCGGTAACAGAAAGAAGAGAAAACTTTGAAGCCATCTCGAAACTGGCCCAAAATATACTAGAGGCAAAATACAGCGAAGAGCAGGGGTAATGACAAAAAAGGAACAGTCCGGCGCTACTTGAGGAGATGCGTCCAGCGGGTCCAAAAAAAAGGGGGACCATACTTTTATTGAAATATTAAATGCTTTGAGAATAGGTGAGCTAACCGCTAACCATTTTAGTATTTTGATGCAAAGAGTTATTCAAAACCCAAGTGATGAGTTTGCAACAGACAAAGCGTTAAGGGTATACCCCACTAATCAGCAAGTAAACAATCACAACGCTGCTGTTTTAAATCTGTTCCGGAATAAGGGATCTCGAATTTATACCATTAAAGCACAGGACCAACTAATTGACGCCACACGAAATACAGATAATTTAAATTTAGCAAATATAATACCAACAGATATAAATAAGACTGGAGGCTTACCATCAGTACTTGAAATATTTGTAGGAGCAAAAGTAATGTTGCGGTCCAACATTGACGTTACAAAAGGATTGGTAAATGGTGCTATAGGCCGCATTACAGAAATTGTTTGGCCTCAGTTCCATCGAACCCAAATGTACGAAACAGATGTACCATCGGTTTGGATTGACTTTGGCAGAGACGGCATACACGTTATACACCCGAAAGTCATACAGTTTCCAGCAAAATTCAATTATGGTACGGCTGAAAGAAGGATGTTACCCTTAATTTTGTCATGGGCATCCACCGTCCATAAAATGCAGGGCAGCACAGTCGACTATGCAGTAGTGTATTTGGGCTCAAAATTGTTTGAGGAAGGGCAAGCATACGTGGCTCTAAGTCGAGTCAAGTCTCTGGAAGGGCTATGTATTGAGGAATTAGATTCTAATAAATTATCAGGTAAAAAAACATGTAATAATGATGCACTAAATGAATTAAATAGAATGAGGAATATTCGGTAGGCATTTCCGTTAAATACTAAAAACTAGAAAATAAAAAATCGGTAAAAAAACTTTTAAGTTAAACGGTTTTATCTTATGTGCACTGAAAACTAGAAAATAATAATCACAATTAGGTATTTTGAACTTCTAGTTCAGAAATATTTTAGTACTAGGCAGAATAGCTTTTAGGCATATTAGACTAAAATAAAAACGTGGGGCCTATTAACTATTGCTGTAATACTTTCTTCTATACTAAGTGTGGATTGCATCGACTTACTATAATCGAAACTGGAGATTTTGACAATCAATAACCAGCCGTGGCGGCTTCACCAGCGAACGCCGAGCTAATTATCTACCAAAGTATAAAGATATGCTTTGCCATAGGTAGGATTTCAGAGGGGCCCCACGTTTTTATTTTAGTCTAATATGCTTAAAAGCTATTCTGCCTAGTACTAACATATTTCTGAACTAGAAGTTCAAAATACCTAATTGTTATTATTATTTTCTAGTTTTCAGTGCACATAAGATAAAACCGTTTAACTTAAAAGTTTTTTTACCGTTTTTTTTAAAGCAACAAATGTATAAAATGTACAAGTTCTAAAATCGATAATATTACTAGCTAAATGGGCTAGTAAAAGTAAATCTATTTAAATCTTTGTAAAAGAGTATACCGATTAAATATACCACCATTATTTTCATCCAAATATTAATTAATTACATACTTAATTGTGTTAGTTAATAAATTATTCTAAATAAATGTAAATTTGAATCAGAAATCAATATAATAATAAGTTATGAATGTGAACGTCTCTGTTGTTATAAATAAGCATTCGCCAAAAAATTAAATAAAATTTATAAGGTGTTACTTTTTATCACACTGTGTAAATACACATACAAAATTCAGTTTTCTAGTATTTGGAGCTATTATTATTAATCAACGCAGCCAATTAATATAGTTTGAATACTCGGATCATATTAATTGGTCCTCTTTTAATTTACCAATATTTATACAGTTTTTTTAAGTTTTTTTAATGAAATAAGCGAAATATATCGACAATATTAGTATCTGTTACTCTTGAAAATTTGTTACATCTTTAAAGGTAATTTAAAATGTTAATATTTCATGGGTATATTCATAAACGAGGTCTCAATTATAAGAAAATGCATTTTCTATAAAAACTTGAAGGGATAGGTAAAAAATGGTATAATGCAAGTTGATAGACAGTTAAATTATGCATCTGATTTTCCTAATATATACAGGGTGTTCCATTTAAATTAAAGCAGTTATTGCCGTTTAAAGCTAGAAATTATTTAAAATAAATTTTTAGACACTCTGTAGTATTATGTTTATTATTGCAACACAATAACTGATCAATAAATAAACTTCAGTAAATATTTAGTATTAAAAACTTTGATACCCTTGGAGAAACGAATTCTTAAAATATTTACTGAAATTTCACAAAATTGAAAATATTTTAAAAACGGTAAGGTTTTCGTGTGATAAACCTTAATCAAATTTACCTTTATTTTAATTGTAGGAACTATATAAAAATGTAATAATATACAGGGTGTTCCATTTAAAAAACACAACTTTGATTTTTTTATTTGTTTGGGACACTCTGTATCTTGTAAAAATATTTTTAAATTGTAGCTTTAATAGTACTTTAACGAACCCAAAACATACAATTTGTAAAAATCTAATCGATCAGCTACAATACTAGGTGTCGTATGTAGTGAACAACCCTGTATAGGTGTCTCCTTTTCTGTCACTTTTAAGATTTAAAACCGTAAATTATGTCACAAAGAACCTCAAACTTAAATTTTTATCGTCTCTTCAGTACCACGACTATTCGAAAACCCGCTTGGTCGTACCAAACTCGAACGAACCACAGCATACCCTACCCAGCTGGTTCACTCATTCTCTCTCTTGCTCGTTCCTTACCTTCTCGTTTCAAGCTATTCAGTACCACCGAAGCAGTCGCGCGGGTACCACCTGGTTCGGTACCATTAACATCTCTCCACCTCTCACTCTTCTTGGTTCGTGCCTGCTGCTCTCAAATTGGAAAAACTATGATTAAACAGAGCTGATTTCACTTTCAAATCGGGCTCTCTTACATGTCTGGCTAGTACGGTGCGGCGGTACTACTTTCTTCGGCGAGCTAGACGACGGGTTTTTGTGTGTAGTTTTTGATTTATTTTGAGTTTGTTGGTGTTTTGTCGCGGGCTGGTTCAAGAGAGGAGTTGAAAATGTTTGGTGTACTGTGTTGGATGGTGCTTGCGGCTCTATGTGCTGTTGATGTCTCTGCAGGTAAGGTACTGCTTGCTGATGGTGTTCAAGACAGTTAAACATGTTTTAGTAAATAATCAAGTTATTTTAGTATTAAGGTATTATTTAGTGTTGTTGTGTTAATTTACTTAAAATTTTGAGATGTAGGTTTTTTTTATAAACTTCACTACTTGGCATATTAAACAGGGTTAATCGAGGGGTTGTTTTTTTAACACCCTGTACAATAATTTCGTGTGTAAATTTACCTGAAATATAATTTTACGGTTAGTACCATGACTTCTGAGAATTTTGTTTTTTGATTCATATACAGGGTGAGTTTCCTACGATGTTCTCTACGGGCATCTCGGAAACTACTGGAGATAGAGAGTCGTTTAAATGGGGAAAGAATTGCAGTTTTGTGGGGTCATAAATATGCGCCTTTCAGATTTTTGAAAAAGTTCATGGCTTACTAGATATTTAAAAAAAACAAATTTTGGCTATTTTAAAAATTGTCCCTAATTCCTTTACAATCTATTTTAGACAAAAAGTGTTCAGATAAAAGTTGTAGATAATCACATTCCTAATGAGTTTGTGTTCTCCGATTTTTTATAAAACCTATCATTTTTGACATATGACACAAACATATGTTTTTTTAATGGAAACCATAGTTGGCTATGACTTCATAAACAGCGCCATTTTTTAAGCTCCTGTATCCTGTATGGCCAAGAAAAGTTGAACCAATAATTCTACACGCTGTTCTTCGTTTAAAAAACTCTTATTTACAATTTTAGTTTATGTTAATTTACAAAGATTGGATGTGACAATTTCACATTTCTGAGAACAACAACAATTGAACTTGTTTCCAGGGCTAACTAAGTGAAATTAGTCAAGAAAGATAAGAATTGGTTATAACTCAGTAATTTTGGAAAAGAAACATATTATAGCTTATATCGTTGAAAAGCTTAAAAAACGGCGCTTTTTATGAAGTCATGGCCAATTATGGTTTCCATTTAAAAAAACATATGTTTGTGTCATATGTCAAAAATGACAGGCTCTAGAAAAAATCGGAGAACACAAACTCATTAGGGATGTGATTATCTACAACTTTTATCTGAAAACTTTTTGTCTAAAATAGATTATAATGGAATTAGGGACAATTTTTATAGCCAAAATTTGTTTTTTTCGAAATATCTAGTAAGCCATGAATTTTTTCGAAAATCTGAAAAGCGCATATTTATGACCACACAAAACTGCAATTCTTTTCCTATTTAACTGACTCTCTATCTCCAGTAGTTCCCGAGATACCCATAGAGAACATCGTAGGAAACTCACCCTGTATATATGATTCATACATGCTTTGGTTAATTTTTAAGAGCGAAATGAACTGATCACGATCAATTTGCAATTTTTTGTAATTATCATTACTTTTTGATGTAATTTTTTAATATGTTGAGATGGCTTTGGTGACTATTGTAGTAACGTCATATTCCGCTGAATTCGATACTCTATACTAAATTTTAAAAATCGTTAAAGACTAACGATACAGTCTCCGTTTTAATAAACATTAATAACGATAACAGAACTAACGATATTAAAGAAAACATCTGTAATACTCAAGTATACAAACCAAAAAAAAAAAATTGTAAAAGATACTCTAATACTTTGTATTGCCTCCCTTGGCTGTCCGTATACGCCCGTTCATACTGTCATTGAGGCTGCATTATATCATATTGCGTTATGTTTTCCTATTCTTCTTTAAGAACCAAGCGAAATTCATTTAATAAAGTTGGTAACGCTTTGCGACCTCTAACCCTCCTGCTAAGCAGTTTCCCAAAAATCGAAATGATGGGCAGTGGGCAGTTCATAGTAGTATATAGTTCACAATAATCACCAAGGCCACCTTGTCATATTGAAAAATAACTTCAAAAAGAAATGATAATTGAAAAAATTCCAAATTGTTGGTGGCAAGTTCATTTGGCTCTTAAAAATTAACCAAGGCTTGTATTGACAGGATCCAAAAAACAAAATGCCCAGGAGACATGGTTCTGACCGTAAATTTATATTTTAGAAAAATTTATACACAAAATTATTAAGCTAGGGAAAAAACCAACCCCTCGATTAACCCTGTATAATATGCCATATGCCATTTGTCTGAGTTTTAATTTAATTAAGTTTAACTTTCTAAAATACCTGCTACCTACTACAACTTCCACTTTCAAGAGTTTCCAATTAAAGTTTGTTGCGATATAATCCTTGAAAGTAGAGCAATTTGAAATTTTCATTTCGTAGAAAATTCATAACTTTGTATTTCCTCTTCTCAATATTCCGTCAGATTGAGTAAGAATCCCAAGAATAAAGTTAAAAAGTTCGATTTATGAAAGAAAATAAAAGTAAAACATCTCTAATTTAATGAAAATATTATTAACTTTACAACAATAAGTCATGGATAATATTCTATACCGTGTGTTGCATCGTCGACCTAAACATACAGTGGGTAAATATACCTGGAGATAGTAAATCCCATGTAAATTTAAAAAATTATGAATAAGTTTTCCCCATTTTATTTTACAGAAAAAGTTATTTGAAACTTTTTAATGAACTCCTTAAAATGAAGCAAATTGCTCATTTTGAATGGTTTATACGAATTCGTTCTTGAGTTATGAGGGATAAAAAATTACTAAATTAGGCGAAAATTTAAAATAATGCGGTCCTGGTCAAACATAACAATCACAACCTAGGTCACAATATGACAAAACTCTTATGACTTTCTTCTACAGAGATCTGTCAAAAATATTCCCAGTTATATTCTCTATGAAAAGTTACAAAAAGTACATTGTAAACATAAAAGAATCTTTAAAAAATCCAATATATTTCGTAGATAAGTAAAAAACACATAGCTTCAAAAAATATTTATTAAACACTAAACAATTCACAAAATAAAGTACTTGTTAATAATTAAAAAATTGATAAATTTGCCCTACGTTCTTCACCCTCGTCAAATTATTCTTGGCGTTCGGAATATTTAAATGTCTTAAAACTATGCTTCTTCAAATTCGCCAAGCAGTGGTACGATTTTTTCGACTATTTCTCCAAGTATTCTGGTACTTATTTGACTTTCATAGCCCACTTGTAACAGAATATTTAATTCATTTTTGTTTGTATTGGAATTCTTCTCTTACGTTTCTGTCTTCAATAACTGGTCTGGGATATTTGGAAAATGTACAGAAAATAAATCCTTTACAGCCTGTAGACTTTTTCCTCCATTATATCACTATTATTTTTTCTTTAGTTGTGATACATATATTTTCAAATTATACTAATAAAATCAATATGACAGTAAAACATATTTCTTTTAAAATTATTTTTGGCAACAGTAGAGTCAATTTGACATTAAAAGACTAAATTTGAAGGTGGTTATTTTAATCAGGACCATATTATTTACCAATAGGTATGGTAGGCTATTAGGATCGGCAAAATTTTTTTTTTTTAATTTCACTCAAAATTAGTTATTTGGGTCATAAATGACCACTGTAACACGATAACTCAAAAACCGCTGAACCGATTTTAACCAAATTTGGCACAAAAATACTGTGGCACCCGAGAATCTGGCCATTAGTTTTTGGTGGGGGTGGGGTGTTGGTAAGGTAAGGGGGCATAGGAGGGGAATAAAAAACAACCAAACCAAACTCCAAAATTACAGTAGCTAGCGAAATGCGGTTTTCAAATTAAGATTAGGAATAATATTTGCAACAAAATCCATACATATAGGTATAAAAGCTCAAAGGGCTTTTGAGCTTTTATATATGTTTTTTTTGTTACATCCATCCCGCCAAAACTGCTTTACCAATCTTGATGATTCTTTTTTTAAATGAAAGGTATATATGTCTAGATTTGTTATGAAGTATTTATAAATTGTTGAATGGCTATTTCTTTGTGTAAATTGACTAAAATAATAAAACATACCTGAAAAACACCTACACACAATACCTCCAGAAATAAATTATTTGTCATTGTCAGTTGTTTGTCAGTTAGATTATATATTAAGTTTTTAGATATTTTAGGGATCAGTTCATAGAGCCAGCTTTAGATACATAAATATTAGAACAAAGGTTCGTTTAAACGACATTAGTGAATTAGCTACACAAAGCGATTTTAGGAAATTCATCCTCTTAGAGAGTCAATTATGTCGGAACAATTTGTTGTATGAAAATTCCTTACTATGAGGTTTAGAAGAACAAAATCCTGCAAAAAGAATTAGAAGAGATTTTTGAAATTAATTTTTTATTTAGTAGGTATATTTGATCCCAGAAACACGATTATGAGTTTTTTCGCGAAATTTTTTTTGAAAATTTTGAATTTTTTGAAAAACCTTTTGGATTTTTTTTAGTTTTTAGTTAAAAACCATAATTTCTTGATAATATGGCAACATAGATAGGTAGTAGATTAAATTTACAAGACAGAAAAACCCGAAAAGCTGCAGTGGTTCTCAAAATTTACGCAAAAGATATTTTTTTTTGGAAATTTTTAAAGTAATTCAAAAGAGTTATTTGAAAAACGGTAAAGAGAAAATATGTTTTTTTTTATCGAGATCTACCAGCCCTGAAAATATTTGCACTTATTCAAAACTTGCCCTGTATAATACCCAGAAAATCGACAATTGATTGAACTTTCATATGAAATACGAGTAGCTCTAAAACTCTTAAAAACATAGTTTAAATAGGGCATTTGTAAGGCTCACTAGCTCTATATACAAAGTAAATCATTTAAATCAATGCATGAACTATTCGAGGTGTAACGCGAACGTAGTCTCGGGAAAAACCGAGTTTGTAATAACATCAAAATCAGTCAAAGTCGCAGTTTTCGAGATATTAACATATTTTAGTATGGGCGGCTATACGTGCCTCCCGGCGCCAATTTTTTTGATTAATTTAGTATTTTTGTATGTATCATAACTCCAGAACGAATTCGTGTAAATCATTCAAAATGAACAGGTTGTTTTATTTTAAGGCGTTCTTTAAAAAGTTTCAAATACATTTCTCTGT